CCATATTTGGAGTACAGAAGGCAAAGTATACATAAAATTCAGTTCCTACTTAAAAGTTATATAAACCCATTTTGAAAAACTGAAGTGGCATTAAAAAGATCAACATAACTCCTGGTACAGAACAACTGTTTCACATGCTGGTATTTATAGTACAGCCAGATTGTTAAATTAATATACTTTCTCTATACAAAATAAGTGTATTTGCTTTATAAAAACTGTATATCTAGTATAGTGAGAAGATGCATTGCAACTTCATCATGTTTGTGGTGACCCCCCCCACTCTTACTCATGACGTCATGAAAAACCTGTGAAATTTAATATATTAAAAATAACCCCTCAATATTACATTAATTATCAAATTCCAACCCTATTCCAACAAAATTTAATCACTTCAACCAAAGATTTCATAGGTTTATAATATGGTTCTCAATTGGTTTTGACATTACACTAGTATTTTAATGTCATGAAACAGATAATTTCTCAATTACTGGAAATATTCATGGGGTCTGGAACATGTCTAAACTAACCACTGTGTCTTTAATAGCAGGAATACCATCAGAGGAGTGGATCATTTTAAGGGAAGTAAAGGAAAAAGTGCTCGATAAAATAAAACTCAAAATACCTTTATACTTGAATTCCTCTAGAACTTGACAATACACCCAAAGTTTAAAAAATAAAAAGAAAATAGAACACAAAGATAATGGGTATTATAAAGAAAACCAAGTATCTCTCTGTTTCACAAGGAAAATGGAAATGTTGTTTAAAATTTGTTTGCTGACATTTGTCAGGAAGTTCAATAGATCAGGAGCAGTTTTTAAAAGATTAAGTATAAATTAAAAAATAACTCGGTATGCTAAGTTACGTACACAAAGATAAATATGAAAAGACATCTCAATAAAATTATATTCTAGAGAAAAAGGCTAAAACTTGGCAAAAAACCTAAAAGGAATGCTAGTCATGAGGAGGTAATCTCTGCCTCTTTTCCACAAGCAAGTTTACCACCTGGCACTACAGCTAGCCAGGAGACTGAAAAGCCTGCCAGGAAACCAGCCACAATCCCATGTGCTGATGCTGGAAAAAACAAATTCTGCTTATCATCTGGGCCCTGCAGCTTCCAAGCAGACTCTCCATGGGGTGAAACATCTTTGCACTGAGGCTAATGAGTCCAGTAAGGAAGAAGGAATGGAGTACATTCAATAGCAGTGTCAGTCCAGCAAGGAATTAAAAGTTAAAACTGATGTTTAAACAATATAGTAACTAACCACAGCTCTTCAGTAAATGTGCTCTTCTTCAGAGAAAGAATAAACGATAAAATGTCTAAAGGTAAACCTGAAAACATATTTTTCCTTACAGGCCAATTAAGGAGTCTGTTCAGGTTAGATCAAAAGTTAAGTATTTTGATAAACTAATCACAGAAAATAACATTTTCATCATGAAGAAATTAACTTCTTCAGATCCAAAAATCCTCAGGATATCTTAAAATATTATAACACCTTCAGGATGTTTCTTTAACTTAGAGGAAAAGAGACTGATGTAGCTTGGTAATGGAAAATAATACTGAAAGTATCATTTTACAGAAGAATTCTAAAAAAAGTGTTTTCCAGTGAGTACATATAGCATGCACAGTAAGAAGCAGTCTTGTGATGACTTTTGACATTATCTATCACAATGAAGCTACAGCTCTTCTGTAATAGTGCAATGGGCACTACCATAAAGAGATGGAAATGATGACAGCTGGTGGGCACACCAAGAAGAGCATTTAGAATAGGATTGCTTAAAACAGTGCTTTAGCACCCAAACCAGCATTAAGCACAATAAACTACATGTAACAATTTACACGCTCACTATTATGTTTAGACTACTGATTTACTCAGCATGCATTCATTTTTGTTGGGTTTTTTTTATAACCTACAAATACCCCTGCCAAGTTTACAACTATGTGGGAGAAGAGAAAAGCTTAATATACTGTCTAACATAATTGTATATTTGTGCATAATTTCATAAAGTGATCACCCCAGGAGACCTGTGTACATTCTGCCTATTTCAGGAATCAGACATCAGAAGGCTCATTTATAAGAAGATTTCCAACACAAGGAAAGAACAAAGCTTTCTGACCCACAACTACTGACATTGGTCATTTAATACTGTAACTGGCTCTGGTGTCCTGGAATGTGATGGGCTCATTCATTGACCAGAGGGACTATGAAAGGTCAAAGAGCACATAAGTCCAATGAAGCCATTCACTCAGTGTGTAATACAGAAGAGTAGGTCTTGTTCTAAACAGGTTAAGTTCAATCCAATTTAAATATACAACCATCTCTTCTGAGTTTGTACCATTTCTAAAAACATCGTGGGCTTTTCAAAATTATGTATGGGAAAAAGTAGTTGAAGTCATTCTGTGATCAGCAACAGGTATTAAATTGCCAAAGGTACTAGAGGGAAACATTACACAGACAAAAATGTTTAGAAGAGATGGTATATCATTCAGGTTATCCTAATCTAGCTATCACAAAGCAATGGAATGGGACAGTAGCAGTATCAGTAGTGGGTGAACAGCCAAAAGTTTGCTCTAAATATGTGTATTATATATATTTATTGATATATTTATTTATTTATTAATTCATAATATGTATTATTTTAAACTTGCTTTGTTGATGAAGAATCCCAAAATTATGTATTTAATTAACCAATGGCTGTATTAAAAAACCAAGTGTTTATATTGATGTAATAAATTAATGCTTTATTAAATAAAAAATTACAGATTCTTTATGAGTTAACACTGACAACATTATTTTGATTGGATTGAAAAATCAAGTACAATTGAAAAAGGACAAATGATTTTTCCCCCAACCAAACCCATATTTTTTATAAATCTTTCTGTTTAGGGATGTATGTTATCTCTGTGTGTAAGGATACGTAAATTGAAGTTCTCACTCTCCTCTATCATCCATCAATTTGGAATTCTTTGATGCTGAAGTATTCAAGCCTGAATACTCTACAGTCCAAATACTGCATGGTCTGAGTAAGAACTGTTCTGGTGTGAACACATCACGTGCATAGATAGTAGCTAGCAAGATATCTGGTTTAAGACTTTCCTACCAAGCCTCCTGATTTGGACTCAAACAACTGGGTGACCCTTTTCAACAGTGTTTTCCAGTAATTATCTTGGACCTAACATCTAGAAAACATTAGTAAACAGTAGCCACATAATAATCTATCTGTAAGTTTACACAGACTGTCAATATAATTTCACAGTGACTCTCAGGAATTCCATAACATGATCAGCAGCAGCAATTACACATGGTACTCTGAGGAATTAAATTCTGTAACAAAACACAATGAAATATTTTGCAGGGCTCAAGATGATTTGAGGAAGTCACATTCATGTCTTTTCCAGATAAGCTATAAAAACCCCCAAAAAATGCAGCTCTACCTGTTGTTGGCACAATCCACTGTGGCAGTCCAGGTGCTTTTGTTCTGGCTGGTGCTAGTGTGGTTTTACTAAAAACTGTGAGAGAGTTAAAAAAAAAAAAAAGAGAAAGATGAGAAAAAAAGTTCCACGAGAAGAACACCCAACAGGTTTCTATGTGATGGCTACAATTCCACACTAGAGAAGAAAAAGTAACACCTAGTGTGATGACACACACAGTTCTGGTTTCTGATTTGAAGAGGCTTTACCTGTAGACTTATTAATTGATTAAAAAATACCCTTTTTTTCTCCCAACAACACTTTAAATTCCACTGAGAATAGGGGAAATTAATTAATTAATTAATCTCCTTCCCATCCCAGATTGAATAAACAATTATTACCAGGTCTAGTCTGTGATTTATCCGACGGCTTTGGTCTTGCAGAAGTGAGACGTGTTTTATGAGGTGCTAAAAGAAATAAGGTTCTGCTTAAATGCTGTGTAAAAGAACACCAATAGTGCAGTGCAATTTGCCAGAAAAAAAGGTCCATGCACCAATGTGATACAGCAAAATGGACACATGAGAGTTCTATGAATTCCAACCCAAAATGCATGTTGAAAATGCTAGTTTCTTTAGTGGTCAGATGACTCTATCATGCAGTCTGACCAGTTACATTCATGTTTAGGTTTAGGAAAAGATATAAAATATTTACAGCCAGTTACCCAACTGTATATGGATACAGAGTTAGCTCTGCAAGGTATCCATGGCCTTAAGACATTTAATTAGGTTCTGTAAAAAACAAACAAACAAAAAACCTCAAAATAAAACACCACACTGGAACCCCCAAGCAAAATACTTAGATAAAACCATGAAACAGTGAATTATTGCTGAGAAAACAACCAGAAGCATTCAATGCAGACACTGTGTAAGACAGCTGAAGCACAGTGTCATCATCAAGGTTGAAATCAGAAGACTTCAACCTTTTCTTATTGTTGCCTTTCACTTGCAAAATAATTTTGATAAGGTAGTTGTTACAGTATCTGTGTGAATCACATCAAAAGCTGAAAGCATAAGACACTGTTGTCTTTCACACAGTTATCAACCTCTGTAAGTCAGCTTTTTAAATAAATAGAGCTGGCTATTTGATATTCAAATCTAATAACCATTCTATCCATAACACTTAATCCAGCCTCTCTGAAGCATCAGAGAAAATACTTATGCAGTACAGAACATATTACTCAGTTTTGACATTTAGATTCGGGAAAAGTTTTACAGATTTAGATTTTATAAGGTAAACGGTGGAAGTTAGTTACATCTATATTTGCAGCACTATACATCTGTCTCATAGTGTTTAAAAGCTTCATATCATCTTTGATACAATACTGATTAAACCCCATTTTCAAAGCACCAAAAATGTTTGATAAGGGGGAAAATAAATTTTCATGTTATGTATTTGAAATGGTTTTAAAGGTAATAATGAACTTATAATTAAATATTAAACAGTACTGATTTTACTTCAGATTTACAGACTCTCAATACAACAACTTAAGAGAATCTTAAAAATTACCTGTATTGAACCATGGAATTTCAGTTGCTTGAGCAATTTTTGGCTTGGGTGAAATGTGGTATGTTTCATTGGGAACTGAAAATGGAGATATTACTGCTTATCAAGTGCAAATTATTTCCTTTTAAACATAAGACACCACAGGTGGAAAGGAAATTCAAATTGTCTTTGTGCAGATCGTAAACAAGAGTCAGTACTAGAAACCTGTCTGAAAATCATGCTTTTGTACAGGAAAAAGACTTTTCAAGACTGGAAGATATATTTCATTAGTAAGTCAGACAAAATCAGAAAAGATGATCAGACAATGCCTTTTTACATGACTCCTCAGCCTTGTACATGAGGTACTTATTTCTAGAAAAGATTTCATGAAGAAGAAACGTGCCTGGAAAATTAAAACCAGCAATACTTTGTACATGCACTGGAATGTAACTAACAAATGAACATGACATAAAGACATATTGAGGTATTTCTGTTGATTAAAGTGTAAGTTTAGCTATATAGCAAAAGCAGAGAAAGTAAAGTTTTAAGAAAAATAAACTGACATAATATTCTCATTACCCAAAGGTATTTTGGACCCATCAACAACATGAACTGTAACAAGGTTAATTGATCCCAGGTGTGTTGCCTTTGGAGCTATAAAAAATAAACCATTGTTCTGTGAGAAGGGAAATTAAAGAAGGTGGATTTCACAAAGGATCTGTCTCCATTATTTCCTAAAAACCTATCTACACATCTGCTAAGACAATTTTAACAGATATGAGACAGAAACATGTTCTGATTAGTCTGGATGTATTTTCATGCTGACAGCCAGACAGTGTAATGATTGTTCTGGGCCCCCACTAACTTCAGAACAAATGCCCTAAAGGTGGAGTTCTGACAATCTTTGGTCTTTTTCATACTTAGTATATTAACTTACTCTTCCATAAAACATATCTAAAAGCTCGTAGTAACATATTTATCTTTCAGACCTCATTCAAACTTGATTGAATTTGTTGAAAGATATCTAAATTACTGAATGAAGAGGACAGACTGGCAGGCAGAGACACACACTACATGCCTCTTTGTCTTTCAGAAATAAGGTTAAAATATGGAAGCTGGAAAATAACCTACTTATTAGCATAAAGAGCAGTGGCTAAATGGTGACATTTGTACTTAACAATAACAATTTTTTTACTGTTCTTCCTAACAGTAGTTTGTTTTGCACATACACAATTATAATTATTTAAATCTTAAAAGAATAAACCTCTAAATTTTGTTTTCTAAAATTCTTTCCCTGAAACTAACTTTGTAGTGGTACCAAAAATGGCACTTGTTAACTATGACATGATTGGAAATAGGTCTTATTCGACCGAGACTTGGAATCTAACTTGGTTACTTAACAGCCTTTCAAAATAAGGCATTTAGAACAGAAATGTTTTTCATGAACTGTTCAGTTTGATGTTCATAGTAATATATATGTACGTATAGCATATACGCATGTATATATAGTTCTTGAATGAATAGGGTGTCTGCTTAAATTCTTTTTTGGCTATGAAAAAAAGTACCAGTCTAAGGTGAAAAAGTGTGCATGAAGTTACAAAACTATTCATTGAGTGATTTGCCTTAAACTAAAATATTATCAGTTCTGTTGTTAGACCAGAGAGGAAGAAAGATTAGGAGCTGCTCTTATAACCATGTTGTTACTCCTCCTCTAACTATATTTTTCTCCTGTAACCTTCCTACTTGGCAATTTTTATTGAAATAGTTCACACCTAGGTAAAGCTGAAGTATCACCGTCCTTCGTTGTAACGGTGCATCCCTGAATGTACTGAAGTTACTGCAAGAAGTCACTGTGCTGAAGACACTTATACTCTCAGCATCTACTATCTTGGACTGAGATTCTGTAACCCGAGTTTCAAAAGTAATCGAGAAATTGAATCAAATGTATTTAGGCTAATAAAATCACCCAAAAGAAAAGAACTTTGTGAATGTGACCACAGAAAAATATTTTTATTAAAATTAATTGAATTCCTCGTATTTTTAATGGCTACTAAACCTGTCCAGCTGCTCTCCATGGAAATGGATGCAATTCTTGGGCACTCAGTTTCATATAATTTATTAACATACTCTCAGCTGAACTATGATACCAATTTCTGTCTACTTATTATGCATGTCCCATGACTGCAGTACTCAGTGACAGCCGAAAATGTAACTAAGGCAGTGCCACAATAACACTTCTAAAGTTACAAACTGTAAATTACCAGGTTTAGTTTGTGGTACTTCTGGCCAGACAGATGTTTTGGGTTTGGAAGGAATGAGCAGTGTTTCTTTTGGAGCTGAAAGAAAAGGAAAAAGGCTATTATTGTGTTCTTCAGGAGTCATGATCCAATGCCATATTTAGCCCACAGAAAATGCATGCCTCAAATGCCTGAAAAAAAGACAATAACAATTCCATGGCTTTCTGGAACCTGAAACAAAATGACTATCCAAAACACAGAAAAGTCTCAGCAGTGTGGCTAAAATTCTTGGTCTAAAAGAAAAATTTGACATTAAATTTGGTTGGAGATCTGACAAATACAGATTTCTGACTAGACATAAGCTGTAGGCTATTTTTGCTTTACGTCTAAAGTAGAAATGAGAATCCTCTATACTAAGGTACATGCATGTGGTAGCAGAAGGAAGGACAGTGAAATGGTGTTATATAAATACCCATCTGTGTTCTCTAGAAATTTCTCAATTGAAAAACTGGAAATACCTGCATCTTAACTTTAAGAAAACTTATTTACCCATTGTTGCCTTTGAATGCCCAGTGGTAGTAGAAGATTTTGTAATAATTGGTTGTGGAGTTGTCTGATGTATTGCTGTTAAAGAGAGAATGTGAAGAATCTTAGAATATTTATCTAATAGAAACAAATAGCACTTGCACTATTTCTAGAACTTGCAAAATGCCCCAAACTAAGGAGTAACAGAATATCTTGAAAATCAACTGCTGACAGATATAGTTATCTTTCTATTAACTTCTGCTATACATTCCCTTAATAACAAAAATGGGAAGCCACACAGCCCCTTCTAACTATTTTTAAAGCTAATTTTGTTCCAGTATAGAGTACAATGTAAGTTGCTAACTGCACAAGCACATTACAAAGGAATTCTGTTGTGTTTTATGAAAAGAAAAAAAAAGTGCTCACAGAGAAGCATCCCTGATTAGCAGGAAGTAATCAAAGAGAACTCAATCTATCTAGCCGCTGAAATTTGTCAATACCCACATTACTACATTTTAGTCATCATTTGCTATGTGTAATAGAAAGGAGGGAAAACGTTTTTTATTTTATATTACATATCTTACTATTATTTTCAGTGTGATTTTGACATATTTTGGTTTGATTGTCTTAAGTGTCATGCATCTGCTTCAGCAAAAAACTGGCTATTAATAATTCTATTAAGAAGCACAAAACCTGAGGCTAAGGGAAAGAATGATTAAATGCAAGCAGATAAAATTAAAAGAATGACTCCATTACCAGGTTTGGTGTGTGGCACTCTTGATTTTTCAGTTGTTTTTGGTCTGGTATGAATGAACTGTTTTTCAGTTGGAGCTGGAATAAAAACAAACAGTACCCAGAACAATAATTGAAAAAACACACTGCTTTCATAGCACACAAGGATCATAAGTACAATCTGATCTGTAATAAGGCAAATTATGCAAGGGTAAAGCTGAAAATCAATCAGTTGGAATTCCTGCAAAGAAAGGAAAACAAGTTAAATGGCCACTTACACAAACACACTTCTAGAAAAATATATATACAAATTTCTAACTTTGCATCAAGTAGTGAAGAATATAGTCATGAACATCACACTGTAAAGTAATGGGACAAAACCAGACAGTAGTAGTCTACATCTTCCTCATCTGCCATACATGGGTATCTAAGGACAGGCTCTATTTTTCAGTGGGGACTTTGTATCAAACTTGATTTATAAATTAATTTTTTTTCTATTATATGGGAATGATTTAATGTTGTTGTCTTAACACTCTTCAGTTTAAAATTCTTGTAAAAAGAAAGGTAGGAATCATTTACTGAAAGAGGTTATCTTAGCTCTTGCTAGTTTGTGGTCCACACCAACATAAGAGGTCCCAAATGCCTTAGCCTGTGCATTCTTCATCCCCCTTGTTCTGAAGAATCAATTTTCTGCATACAAATATTGCATCAGGTAGCCCCAGATGTGTTCAACAGGACACCTACTTCATAAAGTTCTATAAAGAGATATTGGTTGAATACTAACCACAGTGTCAATGCACACAGGGAATATATATTAAACTAGAGACATGATGAAAAGCATTTCTAATTTCCCCCTCCGCAAAAAAGAAAAAAACCCATAGTTTTAAGCCAATAAATAGCTATTGCTATTTCATTAATGGTACCATTTCATTTTCAGAAAAGCAGGGTCAATATGTACATGAAACTGGGGACAGAGAACTGATTGTTAGGAAAGATTGCTCAAGCAATACTTGCACTGCCAATACTGCTTGGATTCAGTGACCCTTAATTGGTCCACATCTGAAATTCAGTTAAGAAGAAACAATAGTCAGCCAATGTTTCATATATTTAAGCAAGTTTCCCCAGCGTGGGTGACTAGAAGTCAGCAGAGTGGATGGTTTCAAGAATTAGAGGGTCACCTAGCTGGTCTGTATACTTTATGCTATACTTGATACCTTATAATTTTCTTCTGTAAAATTATACCATGAAGAGTTGTGTTGGCTGCAGCTGGAAAAGTTAACTTTCTTCACAGTAGCTGGTATAGGGAGGTGTTTTGGATTTGTGCTGAACATAGGGTCGATAATATAGAGACGTTTTTGTTGCTGTTGAGCAGCGCTTGCACAGAGCCAAGGCCTTTTCTGCTCCCTGTACTGCCATGCTGGCAAGGAGACTGGGGGTGCATGGGGGTTGGGAGGAGACACAGAAGGGACAGGTGACCCAAACTGACCAAGGGGATCACAGAATCACAGAATAAGTGGAGTTGGAAGGCACCCACAAGGATCATCGAGTCCAACCCTTAGCCCGGCACAGGACCATCCCCGAGAGTCACACCATGTGCCTCAGAGTATCGTCCAAACAGTTCTTGATATTCCAGGCCATACGACATCATGCTTAGTATATAAAGCTGGGGGGATGAAGGAGTAAGGGGAAGTTTGGAATGATGGTGTTTGCCTTCCCAAGTAGCTCTTACGTGTGATGGGGCCCTGCTTTCCTGGAGATGGCTGAAGCAGGTAAGAATGGTAAGCAGGGAATTAATTCTTTGTTTTTCTTTGCTTGTGTGTGTGGCTTTTGCTTCACCTATTAAACTGTCTTTATCTCAATCCACGAGTTTTCTAGCTTTTATCCTTCCAATTCTCTCCCTGATCCTGCTGGTGGGGAAGTGAGCAGGTGGCTGGTGGGGGCTTAGTTGCTGGCTGCTGTTAAACAACAACAGGAGTGAAGAAGAATCGTATTTTAGAATGACATTATCCATACTTCAGAAGAAGAAGTTACAAGAATTGCTACCTCTCTTTAAATAAAGTCCCCTTTTACTGGAAAACAGATAATGTGGAGGAATTGCATCATCCTGAGTAGAAGGGCTAGAAGATGAGGAAAAAAACCTTTGGAAGTAAATGGGCTCATGCACTATTACCCTTATCGCGACTAAAGAGTAAGTAAATATCTAGAAGCAGAGAAAAATTCATTATTAGTTTTTAATAAAATGTAATGAGTTCTCTCTAAGATGATCTGCTCTAAAAAGAATGAAAAATAGAATAATTATTTATGAAATACACGATTACCCAATGTTGCCTTTGTTCTTTCAGGAATACGAGGAATCATAGTAGTGTCTGGTTCACCAAAAGTTGGAAAGATTTCTGTTGGAAAAAATGTCAATAAATTATCTGAATAATGAAGAGAATCTCCCTTTCCCTCCCATCTCCCTAAAAAAATCTTTCAGCACTATACTGTATACACAAGGAAAGGGAACAGCAATGGGCATTACCCTCAGAAATTTATGGTTACAAAATAATAGTAACAACCCTTCAGTGAAATCACCGGTTATCACAGATCAGTCAGATGTGTTGATGGGGAGTCACATAATCAAAATATAACTGAAGGGTATCCTCAGTCTAATCTGGACAGAAATGTGTATATAAAGAAAAAGTAATGCAACAACATTAAGAGGTTTCTCTCATAAGAGTTTCAAAAACATGTTGCAAACTACTGAAGTGTATTGCTCAGATGCAAGCTGTGGATAACTTGTAATCCTTGATTAAGGCATACATGCCACTACTATTTCTTCTGGCAATATCTGCATAAGATGAAAAAAAACTTGAACTGCTGAAGTTGCCATCAGTAGGTAGGACTTAATTGCAGCACTGCAGAGGTTTTTTAAGCTAGAATGATACCCAGATAACAGCAAATGCACTGCTGACAACTCACCCACCACCCACCCTCAAAGCAGTTGCTCAGTTATCAACCCTGGCAAAAGACCAGATAATTTACCAGGCTTCCTGTGTGGAGCATCTGGGATGGGAGTTGCTTTAGGTTTAAAGGGAATATACTGTGGTTCTTTAGAAGCTGGAAAGAAAGATCTGGTTTAGGGATTTATACTTTTCAGAAATTAGATAGGTTTATTTCAGAGGCACTGCATGTGTCATGTTTGCTAACAAAATCAATCCCTGCATAAGAGACTGAAAAATCAAGTGTCAGATACATACAGAAATTTAAGGAGAAAAGAAAATCATGAATGAAAACATGGGTGCAAAATTGATCAAGTAAGCAAAATCTGGTGTCAAGCAACAAAAACTGAAAGAACACAGACAACTACAGTGGACATGTTTCCACCTGTATTTCAAAGCTCATAACTGCAATACCCATGGCATGCTTGTCTCCTACAAGTGTCAAAGTGTCACACAATATGTGTGACAGGGAAAGCAATTTTCTGTGAAGACAACAAAACAGCTAGAAATCTTTCAATACCTGGAACAGAGTAAAGTTCAATAAGTACAAAAGAAAACAAATCAAAACCACAAACAGATAATGTGAAAACCAGACTAATGATATGTAAGCATTGATCCAAGGAGCAGGGAAGAAATAACCATGATCAGCTCAAGCTAACAAATTTACCTGTTGTTGTCTTTTGTTGTTCAACTGTAAATGTACTAGGTGCCAAAACTTCATAAAAAACATGATTACACACCATTAAGAGTACATATAAGCAAAAGGGTAAAAATACTCCCTTTTACATGAGTGATTTATTTTCAATTTGGAACACATATTTTTTTCCAATAAATTATTTATTTATGAAATTAGTGAATGTACATTCACTCAAAATAATGTTCAACTGATACTTTCAGAATCGTTATGTGTTACAGAGGTTTGGCAGTTCATGGATATGTAAATCCCTATTAAGTATATTTTAAGGGTCAAATTCTATTACCAGGTCACACAATCATATGAGTGGTTTGAGTTACAGCTATTTTTAGAATCAAACATGAACCATACATCGTTTTCTCTAAGCACCTTTTGACAGGCACCAAAGAGATGCAACTTCTTCCAACTTCTTATAATGTTTGTATGTTGTCTACCCTGCTATACAGATTATTCATCAGTGATAGCTGTCATGTGGCTGAAAAGTATAGATAATTCATCAAAAATCAGACTTTAAAAAGAGAAATCAGCTCTATCTTCCTTTAAACACCTATATAATAATCATTAGAAAATGTATTTGTAATATGAAGAGATGTTAATCAACATTTGATTCATTGAGGAAGGACAACTTAAAAGAAACAGTGAATATTCAAGCACAACAAAACAACAATGTATTTACCAGGTTTTGTGTGTGGTACATCTGGACCTGGTGATGCCCTGGGCTTGGAAGGGACTCGTCGACTTTCCTTTGGACCTGTGAAGCAGAGAAAAGTTTTGAATATGTTATTGAGGATGATAATTCTTGGACCTATGAAGATGTGCAAAGTTTTGAATATGTTCTTGAGGTTGATAATTCATCATATGTCTTTAGATTATTCCTGACAGGAGATTAATTTTCTACTAAGAAATTTTTTAGAAATTACTTCTGTCATTTGAAAATAATCACAAAGAGATCTCCTGTCAATGCAATGAATATTATGTCTGTGCAAAGACTAAAGTGACTTCTATAGTGCAGTGTCAGATTCACTCTTCACTCTACTCAGCAGTTTTGAACAGAACTTTCTGCAGAGTAAACTGCTGTAGTTCTAACACTTCCTCTAATTGTGCTTCTCAAGTGTTTCATATTCCAAAAATCTACTGCTCATTTAAATCAACTTTGCATTAAAAAAAATTCTACAGCAAAGCAGCCAAAGCAGAAGAAACATGGAAACTTACCAGTAATTTTCAAACAGAGAGAACTACTTCCAAAGTTTTGGGAGCAGGAAAGTACTGTAATTTTACACTTGTAATCGAGTAACTGAAAAATACTTATACTTCTCTCACACTCTATGGAAATTAAGATGCGAATTTTTCTGTGTGCAAGGGTTCAAGGTGAGTGTTAACCCACACATCTCTATCATTTTATGTTATTGACATGTATAAATATATAGCTGATTATCTTGTTCCATGACAGCTATATAGCATAATTTGATTATGACAGTGGAACTCCTCAATTTTGAAAATTCTCAAACTGATGAAACTTTCATGCACTAAAGGGCAAAATATTGATAAGCTTACTTGCTCTAGTTGGAGGAACACGTGGACTGGGTGAAGTTTTAGGTTTGGAAGGCCCTGGACGTGTATCTTTAGGAACTGAAAGAAAGAAACTGGGTTAAACATTCCTGAAGTTTTCCAAGGTATCAGTGTCAACTACCACCCACAACAGTCAATAAAAACAAAACAAAGATTTGAACCAAAGGTATTTTTATGGAAGTGATGCAAAAGGGAGGTTTTTTTAACAAAATCAGATTATAGTGAAAAGAAAAAATCTTCTGTGACAAAACAACAACTAAGCATGTGATAGAATTACTGGTTCCATTTAAGAAGAGGATTTAAAAAATAAAAGAAGAAGAAAACAGAATAAGTAGCTTCAAATACAAAAGACACCACTGCTCTGTAATGGAGGTTGTCCTGGAATGATGCACAGTACCAGATGCAAGTGACAAAAAAATCCTTAGTCAAATGGATCTGCCTCAAGCAATCGCATGACCCAAGATCACTGGAGTAATTGTTTTCTGACAGTGAAATTGAGGTTTGAGTGAAATGGAATAATTTTTCAGTCCTCTATGATGGACTGAATTTCATTTCATAATCTAGAGGGGAAGGGAAGCAGAGAAAGCAAGCTTGCAGCTTGCAATTCTGCAGATCTGCTCTACCCCAATCATATGACCAACAGAAACCATGCCTCCTCTACAGTATGACTGAGGACATATAAGTTAGGGTCCTGTTCTGATCTACCTTCTGCCTCTTATCATTAAATATTGAAGAAAATTGCCCTATGTTCTGTGTATAACAACTTGAAAGGAACAAGGGATTTCCTTAATTGTTGTGCAGAAAATAAAAAAAGTGACAGAGAACCTTGACTGTTAAATTATTAAGGAACATGAAAAGAAAGGTGACAAATTTTTGTAGGTCTACTCTTAATGATTTGTGCTGAAGAAGAAAGAAAATATGACTACTCAAACAAGAAAGCATCATTACCTATTGTTGACTTTGGTTTCTCAGTTCTAAACTTAATTGGTTCCAGAACTGTATTAGCAAAATAAAACAACAAAAACAAGTATTACCAGGAACAATCAAAATATTACAATCACTGTCTCCACGATAATCATACCATCCCTGCTACAGCTGATGACAGATGGTCACTTGTCCCTGAAATTCAACACTTCAGAGTATTATGCTGCTCAGAATTGCCTCCAGTTCAAGGTAATAGCTCTAATACAGAACAGATCCCAAATATAAATCTGAAGCTTTTGTAAAAGCCACAAAGAGACTGTGGGTGTTTTTTACCTTCATCTTTGTACACTTTCCTGACTTATTTCAAGAGGGTTTTGTTTCAAACAATAGCTGCAGACTTACTGGGGGAAAAAGGAACCCGAGTTATCATCTCTCTGCCCATTTTTTTCAGCAATACCATCTAATACTGCATTTACTTTGGGTACCCGTACTGGGTCTGGGTGGGACAGAGCCTATTTTCTTCATAGCAGCCCCTGTGGTACTCTGTTTTAAATTCGTGACTAAGAAAGTGTTGCTAACATACCAGTGTTTTAGCTGTTGCTGATTATGGCTTGTTCCAGCATCAAGGAGTTCTCTGTTTTTAACTCTGCCCCCAAGTAAGTAGGCTGGGGGTGGGCAAGATGCCAGGAGGGAACACATCCAGGACTGCTGAACCAAATTGACCAAAGGGATATTCCGCCTCGTATAATGTTATGCTTAGCAGCAAAACTTTCCTAAAGGAAAGTTGCTCCCAGATTGGCACTGCTCTCCTAGTGGGATGTGGTCGGTGGTATCACTTGGTTCCCCCCCTCCTTTATTTATCCTTCACTTGTTAAACTCTCTGTATGTTGAGCTACAATTTTTTTTCTCCCTTCTGCTCCTCTAATTCTCTCCCTCAAACCACTGTGGGGTGGAATGAGAAAGTGGCTGGTGTGTGCTTAGTTGTTGGCTAGGGTCAACCCTCTACAATACCTCATGCAACAGCTGTGAGTTGCATAACTTACTTTCTCCATCCTTAACTAAATAAAATGATACCCCTCCTTTTCATCTTCACTTCACCAAAACAAGAAAATTCACACAGAAAAGACCTATTTTCACTGAGAATTGTACAGAAAATGCTCGCTGTTGCAGTGACTTAAAATGTAGCAAAGAACTGTAGACCGAGACTTTAAACTTAAAAGGTTGCTTATAAATTCCAAAGTTTTATCACACAAGGAATATATGTGCAAGGGATACATATAAATCTGAAGCTCCACTGATCACAGTAGATTTCATAAGACACACATATCAGTATGAAAATGTAAAGAAACAATGTACTTGCCAGGTTTTGTTTGTGACATCTCTGAGCTTGGTGATGTTCGGGGTTTGGAAGGAACACGGTGTGGTTCCTTAGGGACTGAAAAAAGAAATAATTTCAAGAACTCATCTTGACAGAAGACATAATGTTAAAAAAGAATATATGCCTTTGGGACCCTCTGGAAACATCAAAAACTTGAGTAATGGAGATATATGAAAGCTTGAAACAGTGCTGATGGAGAACCTCTGTAACAGGATAGCATAAAGCAAGGCCAGTATGGATGGACCAATATAAAAGGTGAAGCAGTACATGACAGAATCTGAGTATAGAGACAAGTAGTCGAAGGTAGATTGTGGTGCTTCTGTCCACTTTACAGAATGCATTTGTGTGAAAAAAAAAAAACAAACAGAAAAGATGATTACTAATTGTTAGTATAAAATCATCAAAAAATCCCTTACAGGATGAAATTTAATAGCAAAAAATTATGATGGTGGAGTACAATGAATACTTGTGATGCTCAGCATACACTGAGAGAAAAGCTGAATGTGATGGTCCCCAAGTGATTTACCCTCTAGGTAAAACTGTTACCTATTGTTGGTTTTAGTTGTTCAGTTCTAAATGTTATGGATTCCAGGACTGTATTGGAAACAAAACATAGAAGACATTTTGAAAATTGAAGAGAATAACTCCACTTACAATTAGTATTACTTGACTAGTAACTGCTTTCTGAATCATGTACTATGTATACTGCCTCATAGAGAAACAGTTACCTTTAAAGAAGTCTCTGAGAAAGCAATGTAACCTGCAAGATAATGTGAGCTTTGTTCTCCCATGGGCTTCAATGAGATATCCAGATATATAGCATTATGTTATTCAAAAATGGCTTTCTAGAGACACAAATATCTTCCTTTTGTGGTGTATTTCAGATGCAGTTTATGTATACAGTTGGAATCAGAGACTATTTGCTTGTTTTACTGTATGCCATATTATTAAAGAGCACTATGGTGTATTGTGTTGCACAGTCATATTGTTCAGCTCTAAACTGGTATGGATCTAAAATAAAACTGTATGTTTAGGAGCCATAAGGGTGTGAAATTGATGGTATCCCTCTCTGTGTCAATTTTTCTTTATGAATTACAATAAAAAAGAAAAAAAATCTTTTGATCTTTTAAGGCAAGTGATCACAAGGTAAGTGCATGATGTTATAGAAAAAGTTCTGTATATTATAGATTCTTGAAGAAACAGTAAGTTGTTGTGTTGGGATTTTTTTTGTTTTTTTTTTTTTTTAACACAGAACAGTACAAGCTTGTAACATTTGTGTGACAAAACCATGAATCATTTTTGAGGAGGCCAGACTACCATAATAATGAAAAACGGCCACAGAGGTAAAAGCTGAGCTAATGAGAAACTGCATTTTAAGGTGTAATTTGGAAACAATGTTTTATAATCAGCTGTCACGGTTAAAAAATTATGAGAGGACAAGGTTTTTTCTTTTGTTTTCTACAGGAGATAATCACATCTAAGAGATAATATCAGAGTTAAAATGAATATTGCTTCGTGTCTACAGTTTAAAGATTATTAAATTCATTATCATTAAATTTTTCACATTTACCAAAAAATAACGTATGTTAATATTTGATACCCTTGCAATTTTCTATTGATATTACAAACTGGATAGCAGGGGACAGAAAGTAATTTTTCTTGCCTACTACTGAATTCAACTGCACTCACATTTCATGACCTAAAAATCCAGTATTTTGGAATACTGATTAAATGATCATTAATACCAATAAATATAAACAAATACTAACTATGTACTGGGCAATTTCTCATGCAGCAAATTGTTACAATTAAGTAATTGTTACTTAAAAAGGAAACATAACATATTTATTCTAACAGTGCAAAGCAGTGTGGGAAATAATTGTACCACCCAAGTAGCCACAGTGCATACATTAATTGCTTGGTATTTGCTTCAGTTAGCACAGTTAATCTGAGCGTAACAAAATTATTCTCATCCTGTTGCCCTGAAGTAACAGAGATTTATTCTTTTGCACGATGAAAAATACCTAGCAAATAAACTGCAAATAAATTGCTGAGCACAGCAGAACAGAACCCCATTATGTTTTAACTGGCTCAGGTAACTAAACAGCTGCTCAGAAATACATTTCAATCCAATATAAACTGAATCAGAAATAATCACAAAGCAGTTTACCATCTTTGGCTTGTGGGATATGAGGTTTGGGTGAAGTTTTAGGTTTGGAAGGAACACGTTGAGTCTCCCTTGGAGCTGGAAGAGAAAATGTGCATAATAAGTTGGTTAAATTGCACAGCAATTTAACAAATCTGATACCAGATGAACACACAAGCACAGAAACCTCACACCTGCAACCAAGAAGTCTCCTTGTAGGAAGTAGGAAAGTCAGGTAATACTCTTCATGTGTTTACAACAGTCTAAACAGGAAAGTGGAAGTTTAGTAATTTTTGAAGCTTAGTTGTTTGTTGGGTTTTTGTTTTGTTTTGTTTTCATAAAAACTGGAACAAACACAAGCAAGCATAATTATGAGAAAGGTGATTGAGAGCTGCCAGAATAATTTTCTTAAAAACCAGGCAATATTCCAGCTGTGAAGAGAGCAATAAGCCCAATAGTCGTGAATGCCAAGCAAGAGAATTACCTAGAAGGAAAATGAAGTTAAATGAAACAATCCTAAGGCATAAGGTGATTAACTTCAGTGATGCTTTCTGTGATGGAAAAAAGCAGACATGACGGTTGGCCAAGGAAATATCATTACCTATCGTTGGCCTTGGTGGTTCAATTCTAAGTGTAATAGGATCCAGGACTGCAACAGAAACAGTGTGACAAAGTAAGTGCAGAATATACTCCGAAAACCTAAAATTACTACACCGATACGTATAAAGGCAGGTGCTAATGCAACACCACGGTAATGTGGATCTTCAAACTAACTTTTACTTTTTAAAACCATGGGCAAATTAAGTTCCTAATAATACAGGTTAAATAAGAAATATATAATTGGGCAAACTTGATGGCAACAGAAGCAAAAATATGAGGATAGAAATCAGTGAATCTTAGAAGAAGCAAGAGAAGTGACCATGGAGCTTAACCCAGAGAGGAACTCTTGATACACAGAAATGTCATGAATCTCCAAATTGAAGTCTGTTACTACTTGAAAGTAGCATGCTGACCATGACAAGACAATTGAATTTTTCCTCTAAGGTAAGCAATTAAGCAGAAGACTAAAAGGCTGCTATTGGTACAGCTATACTTACTAATTATCTGAAAAAACTTATTTTGGTAAAACCTCTTAGTTTTTCTTCATTAGATCCACTTACAATTTGGATAACAAAATTGATATATCATGTTCTTTTCCTCCTCACAAACTATGCCAAATGGGAAAAAAAAAATTATGAAATGGCGGAATCTATAAAAATTTCCTAGCAGTAAAGAAAATACATTAAAATAATATTAATGCATAAACTCTCCCCTCTCAAGGCATTAACAAATAAAACTATAAAACTTTGATTGCAATTGATGCTTTTGATACTACCTCTTAGAAGACATCTCCATGCTAGAAACATTGAGAAGTAATAAAGCATCGAGATTATACTTCCATTTGTTTGGGTTTGGACCACATATGAATAAGCAAGAAGCCTACAGGAAATGGTGCTTTCAACTGCACATATTATTAGACCAGTGAAAAGAAGAATGACTAAAGATGACTCATAATCATTACCCTCTGCAGTCTTTGGATGTTCATATGTGTAGGGACTCCTAGTAGTGACTGACACTGGAATGGTTGCTGCTGAAATAAAGAGAATTTTCTTGAGAGAAATACAGGTGCATCTATATCTATTTTTCAGCTGCTGGTATGGCTCAGCTGCTCTTGCTTCCAAGTCAAAATCCACCTCCTCTCAACTATTCAGAAACACTGAGTAAATGATAAATTTACCGAATGTTCATAACTACCCTGGGTGACTTTTGTGGCTCTTAAAAATTAAAAAGTGCATTTATGCTACAGGAACACAACAGCAGAGGACCTCTCTAAATCTTCATCTTCCTGTTCTACTAAAGTTTTTTTCTCCTTCTCTTTATGACTGTAGGCCACTAAAAAGTAACAGTGGCAGAGAAATCCTTTTTCTTTGGTAAATCTTTCTATTAATTTTCCTGCGTTTCTTCCATAGTGATGCAAAGGTTAGATGTGAAAGACTTCAGGTGTAAATAACTGTAAAGTCACAGAAGGCAAGGCTGAAGATCCCAGTAGATTAACTAGTGCCACAGCACGTTAGATAATCAAATTAACAAGCTTCCTGACTATCTACAGTACTTAATAAGGTTTGAAAGGAATGAACTCCAAAGACTCTGAAAAATATAAGGATCTTTGAAGACAAAGTTTGTAGAATTATTTAGTATTAGCATGGTTTTACAACTGGAGTCCATTTTCATTCCTAAATACATCTATGGTCATTAAGTAACCTCTGTTCTTATCCAAACCTACAAACTTTACTTCACTTTTCTACTCTGCTATGACTCTTCTCAGTCTATCTTCTTTTACCTATACTTGCACGACACATTTTAATTAGGAAAGAAAAGGTGATTGGTGAATGTTGTACAATGTGCCTAAAATTATATTTTTGGACATACTGGTGACTTGTCATGATGAAATTCACAAGCATTTCAAGACTCACAAGTACACTTATTTCAAGGAAATTACCTTGAGATACAATAAAACCTGAGACCCCCTAAAACTCTGTCAGTTTAGATACAAAATTACTTTATTAATTTAAAAGTCTCTATTTCCCTGCATGAAGGTTTGTGGTGAGGGGATTATATCTGGGAGGATTGTGTTTAAGTTAAAAAGACTGAATTATTTCAGAATTTTAATTTTCCCCTCATTTATTTGCTGACATTTTTAAACAGTTAATGGTTGATGTATTTGATACTATTGCCACTACTCTAAGAAAGCAAAATATTCCAAAATTTCTTCAAGACAAATAATTTAAGTAAAGTAGTTGCCCAGAGAGGTTGTGGAATCTCAGTCCCTGGAGAAACTGAAAAACTTTTCCAGAAAGAAAATGTTGCAGTGCAGTTGGGTGCATGATAGAAAATTCATTATCATTTCCTGTTCTGAAAAATGGAGGACTTAGTATGTTTAGATAGAGGTGTTCATGCTAACAATAGTATAGGTGAGGACAATGGCTGGGCGTGATCACGTTGGCAACAAAAACTCTTTTTCATCCAGGTAATAGATTCAATTACCCAAATATCAAGAAAAAGAATGGAGTTGTGAACTTCCACTAGAATGTATAGTTTGTTGTTTGGAAGGATTGAAAATTGTTTCTATGTTTGGGGGTTTTCAAATGAAGTTTTTTTCTCTGCTGAAAATCAGAAACTGCACAAAAGACGCACTAACAATGAGAGCCAAAATTAACTTTCAAGATCTCTGTTTGACCCAAAGTGGGTCATTAGTAAGTCCCTGATCAAGTATGAATTTGTCACATATTCTTCATTACTTTGATTTACTGTTAAGGAAAGCTGACAACGACTGTCATGACACAAGTTTCTAATTTAGTCTGAGCTCTGAAGTGAGCAGGAACATCCTGCTCTTTGACCATTTTGCCACCCACCCAAAAGCCAGGTTCTCCCCATGCATATTTTATGCCTCAAATAATATCTTCTGAACAAGAATATCATCATTTGTCACATCAGAATACACGCCAATTTCACAGTTACCTACCTACAGGAAAATCCTTACAAGCTTTATTGTGATTAAAAAGCGTGTATTAGGATTCCACCTGATTGGTGAGTGAAACCACCAACAGGGAAAGGACAAGGAAGAGACGTGAGTACAAACACAGAATCATGACACTTTTTTTGGAGTCATATAGAAACTTGTTATATAGCTATTCAGTGTGGAAACATCAGTATAAAATCTTGATCTTGTCAGTCCAAGGGTGTAAAATAATTTCATGCAACAGTTTTCAAATGAGTTGGTTTTTTTCTCTGCTGTTTTAAAAAAACAACATGCTGGATTCAGATCTATATTCAGACATAGGCATCTACAGCAGAGACAAAAGTAATTATTCTTGTAATAAAACACTGGACTTCCTACACTAAAAATTATGTAGCAGCTGTAATCAGCATGAAAAACTAATTATACACACCACTTTGAGACAGTTCCAAGTCATAAGTACCATTCAGTTAACAAGCTTCCCAGGGAATAATTTGGTCTGAAGAGAGTAATTTCTTTTTACGAGCAAAAAATAATTTGTAGGGAATCTGGAAAGAATTTAATAAAATTCTCTGATCTCTTCCAGCAATAAGTGAGACATTCTTACAATAAACAGTTGTGCAATTTTAAGCTTTTTAACTTCATTATAAACCATGTAACATTATAAATATTTGTGTAACTTTATTTACTTATTCTCCAGGTCCAGAAAATGCCAGGTGTATTTTGTTCTCTGCCATATATCATAGACCAAATTCAACTCCAGTGTGAAAGTGTTATTTGAGATCATAGAATATGCCCTTAATAAATTCCAGAACAGAATTCCACTCTTATTTCCACAGTTTCAATTAAGTCTACGTATGCATTAATGATCACTGAATCAATAAAAATCCTACTGTTCTATGTAAGATGCCGTAACCATCAGCAAAGCAGGAAAATTTACATGTTCCGGACTCTATGCTGAACTAAGTTGGAAAATTTGTGATTTTGAAATGAAAAGCAGGAAAACAACTTGTATCAATGCCGGGCTGTGTGAGTTGGTGATTTAGGATACAAAAGTTAAAAGTTTTCTTGGTTTGCTTCTTTTTTTTTTTTTTTCCTTTTTGGATTCAATACAAAAATATTATTCCTCAAAGAGGAATTCCTCATCTTTCTGATGATTAAGTGCCAAACTTCACACAGAATAAATTTAAGCTAAAATGCACTACTTAAGTGATAAACTATAACAAATGATGACTATGGAAGTGAGTTACCAGGTTTAGTTCGTGGCTTTTTGGGTCTGGCAGATGGTCTAGGTTTAGATGTAGAAGGTGTGAGTTTTGCCTCTTTAGGAGCTGAAAGAAATATACTGGATTATAAGTTTATCCTTTCCACTTTATCACATATAAATGAGAAGGGCAACAAATGGCTACTGGGAACAAGAGCAAATGATAAAATCAGATATACCAAGAGGGTTTCTCAAAAAAATTCCTAAGCCTTCACTACCCCAGCAAAATCCCTGCTTGTTCTTCACTGCAAAATTAAGTAGATTTAGAATATGTAATTGTAGCTTGCATCAGATTCTAATGTTCCTCTCATTAAGTTAGCAAATTCATTTTTGCAAGATACCTAAGACGTAAAACAATAGTCCTTTTTATCCTTCTGAATTCCAGGTCAATTTAAAGCCATCAGAAGACATAAATAGACAAAATATGCAAAAATGTCCTCAATTTTCAGCACTACAAAGAAATTACTGGCAGGCAGCTGGAAGAACATGGAATCAATAATAAAAACCAGAATTGCTTCATAACTGTAGTCATTGAATTCTGCTAATAAACTAGAAGTAGCATCATGTAAATAGTAAAAATTAAGGACAACCAGTCCTAGAAACCTTTTTCCCCCTAAACATGCATGGGCTGGAACCATAATTCACTAATCTGACTGTTTGTCTGACCTTGGTTGGGCAGTTTTGGGCAGTATAGGCAGCAATTTTGTTCATCTTTAAAAAGCAGGACTCTGAGATGGCTTCATAGCAGTAGACACAGTGGAAAAGTGTTTGACATTTACAGTGAGACATGAAGTGACTGAGAGGTGTTTTTCAAGCCAAAATGACATTCAGAAGGATTTATAAAACAGTAGAATTAACACATTCACCTAGTGCCACAGGAATCCTTCACTGACTGTTCTAGGATTAGCACCCACAATATTACCCTTGCACTTGGCTTTTCAATTGTATTTCCAAGGGGTTTGTGATTATTTCTGAGGGTAAAGAGTGTTGGTGTAGAAAAACTCCCAATAAAAATCAGAACACAATTCTGATTCCCAAAATTTTACTTTACCATAGAACTAGAGAACATGTATGGGGAAAAAAATCATTTCTTCTTCTCCTGAGCTTAGAAAAACAATTCTGAATGCTTATCTCCTAACTTTTTCCCTCTTTCAGAGAAATGGATTAAATACAGTACAAGCTATGAGATGAAGTAGCAGAGTCCAGATGGTGGTTTGGACTGCAAAGAAGAAAGACCAACAGCTACAGAAACATGTATTACCTAGTGTTGCTCTTGGTGGCTCAACAGTCTGAGAAGTTTTAGGCTTCAAAAGTGGTGGTTTAGGAGCTAGAAAAGAAAAATTCAAGTGTAATAGAACCAATCAGTAGATGTATTAGCAGGAAGCCAAGAGGGTTATAATTCCAACAGTTCAGGGGAGTTGTTTTTTAAACAGTCTAGAGAAGCCTCACTCTTATGCGTCAGACTCTACACTCCTTTTAGTTTTGTTTCCTATGAAATTGCACACTGTATGCTTGTGGCTATGTGTGAGTCTGTTTCTAAGGCTCCTTCCCCATTTTTACGTTCTCAGGACATTTTCATCTGTTATTTGATTCAATTAGCAAATAGATTTACGTTATGGGAGAGCAGTGAGAAAGGATGGATGAGGTTTTTGACTGAAGAAAAGAATGTGGTCTATAACAAATACCAGAGAATCTATGTGAAAGAGGAAACTTCTAAATACCAAATTTTTTCTAAAATGTTAAATGAGTACCTACAGTAAATTGTAAGAGAGATATAAGACAACAAAGACAGCTCCTGCTTTTTACTGACCTGTCTGTTTATAAGACATGAGAACAGAAACATTTTAGGGCTCTAGTAATCCACACTGTAATACTTACTGGTCCAGCACCTGAATCACTAAAGGAGGCAAATTAATTTCTCTTAATGCCAAATAAGAAGAAAATTAGTAGATATCTGGTTTCTTGAACAAAAAGTAGAAAAGGAAAAAAAACCACAACACCATGACAATGTTCCTATAGTCAAAGAATAAATTTCATGTGTATATGAAAGTTTTTCTTCTACTTTGAGAAAGAGCTCCTGTTTCCACTAAAATGGCAATGCTTTTCATTGGGTTCTCTACAGAAGGATTACTGATCACATGAGCAGTACTTTACTTTCAATCAACAAACTCTTTGGACTAGCAAAGATGTCATCTTTGCCATAGTATGTCTGTGGGAGATGGGGATTGGCAAGGGAGATTATAGAAATAATAATAACACATGTTGCTCATACAAGGGATATTTTCTCATTCCAGTCCTTTAGAAAGGTTGCAGGACTAGAGAACTTGTTTACGTTTTTATCACTGGACCCAAATGCATAAAACTGATGAGTTTAACTCTCATTTCTTATGTTAGGAAACATCAAATGACCAGTTTTAGAATGATGAGCTAATCAGGATGCTTATGTATTGCATAGCTCCTATCGCTTTAAGGAAGTTTCACTTAGATATTTTTAGTGAACACATCTCTCTGCATACCAACTTATAAAAATGGTGCACGCAATTACCAGGTTTCACATCCTGTACTTCTGGGGTAGCAGATGGTTTCAGTTTAGAAGGAATAAGTGGTATTTCTTTTGGAGCTGAAAGAAAGAGCTCAGTTTGCAATCAAAAATTGTTTAACAAGCATTTCCCATAACAAACAGTACATGTCACAAGTTTATATTGAAGAAAAGACAACTTAGTATGGAATGTCAAAGCTAGCTGATGAAATAGGATTTTAAAACGTGGAATGGAGATGACACTGAAATGCTGTGCATTGATCAGAAATAAGATTGTGTGACTTCAAAACAATAAAAATTTCCATTTTGAAAGCTTTACAGACACAATCAGCACATGCGTGTGCATTGGGAGTAAAAGAGATAGATAGAGCACTCATAAGAGGATGATGGTGTTTTGTCATGCAAGAGGTAAGTTTTACTTCTCTGAGACAGTAAAACCATCCAGAACTATGTTCTCATAAACAAATATGTCAAGAACAATCAGTCTAATGAAAATGGAAGGACAAGACTCTCTAACCAGGAAAAAGAATGTTTATGCATGTGAGACGATATGCTAGAAGAAATGCATTCAAATGGGATGAAGTGCTCAGAACAAACACAGAGTTTTTCACTGGGTGAAAACAACATTACCTAATGTTACCCTTGGCCATTGAAAAGGACGAGAAGTTTTAGGTGTGAAAGATTCCAGAATGGATTCACTTGTTGCTGCTGGAAGAAATTATGACAGTCATAAAAGAGCAAAGAGCTAATGGAAGAAACTCTTCTTTCATAAGCAAAAACAAATTTGTTTTTACAAGAACAAAAAATATTTTACTAATGCTTGGACAGTTAAGTATCTATTAGGGAGAAACTCAGAGCTGCACAGAGCTTCAGTCACTATATATTGGCACATTTTTGATGGATGTTTATTTCCTCCTGCCTTTATTGCAACTGCTCTGGATCTCAACCACTGCTGAGTAAGATTTTAAGCAGAGCTCTTGAACATTTTGGGTTTTGGTGCAATACTCAAGGGAGGTGATATTGTGTAAAATGCAGGAATTTATTGAAGAGGACATGTTAAACAATTTGTCAGGCATTAAAACATACAGCATTTGGAGAAGAAAGCTGACAGCTGATCCAACCATGGCTTCAGTCCAAAAGCATCAAGTGTCTATGACTGTTAACCAATTTCATGCTGTTAAGGATACACTATCCTTAATCTTTTTAACAAGGTTGTAACAATAAAATGCAGCCTACAGCTCACATCACAGTGTTTTCATCATAACTACATAGAAATACTGTTTCTCAATTATCTATGTGGCATATCTTTCAAAATACTGAAAGAGGCTCATGTGATTATGAGTTGTCACATGCATAGTAACTGTGAGAAAGCACTAATTTCAAATGCCAGCAGGAACATACTTTCAAAATTCAGGTGTTAGAGGCTAATCCAAACATGCACTGAAAGTGCTATCAGTGTACTCATTTCAGTCAGTTTTAGAGCATGATTTGAGCTACTGAACTAAGAACTAGGTATAGAGATTATTGTACCTGGTCCAGGACCTGCTATTTCAGGCTTACTAGGTGTCACAGGGCTTGAAAAAACAGGCTGAATATCACTGAAAACTATAAAAAAACAGTAATCACAATAATCTCTGATTATTAATTCTGCACATAGCTTTTTTAGTTATAGAAGAACAACAAAAATGTTAAAGGCTATACCTAATTTGCAATGCAAAGGTCCACCCACCATAAACATGTGTTACCTCAGCAATGGAGCAGTGCTGGTTTAGTGTGTGAGCTGAAGCTAGTTGTTAAAATGAGAGCTAAAACTAAATTGTCAGTCAGTTAAAGTTCATATTACTTTAGACAGCATGGCCTATGTATTTTGAAGCAGCCCAGAAAATATGAAGATAAAAGAACTTCTAATACCGTGCTTATACAGATAAAACACTCCAAAAAAGGCAGAAAAAATGTAATATACAAAAACTAAAAAACCCTACAAACATATTTCTGTGGGGAAAAAAAAAGACTGCCTTAATTCTTTTCAGTGCTTTATTTTCTGTCAGTACTTTGTACTTTGTTAACGAATTTTAACGTCATATAATCTATGTACATATACACACATGAAAAACAAGGGTAAAATAAAGTTAAAAGAAGTCACTGAACAGAAAAAAATAGTTAGAAAGAAGCTTCCCATACTGACAAAACAGTATATAGTATATAAATGTGTTCTATCTAAGTGTATAACGATTAAGCTTGTAAGAAAAAAACAAGTAATTTAAAGACTCTTATTAAATTTAGTAATTATTATTATTATTAGTAGTAATAGTAGTAGTAGTATTAAATCAAGATTACTTCATGTAAGTATATCCCAAAGTAGCCCTAGAAGCTTTTTGAGAAACAAATGTGAGATAAGAAACACTATCAAGTAAGTTTCTCAGCAGTAAGGACAAGCTGTCATGTAAAAATAAGTACTTTGTCTGTCTACACTAATGATCATGACTCAAGCAGAAGACAATATGGAAAACGACCAAAATATCTAGGATTAATAAGATTTCAAAAATTGCTGTCAAAACATTAAAAGGAGTTTAATGGAAAAGCTAATGTGTTACTGTTACCCGTAGCTGTTGTTAACACATGAGGTGTTCTGGAAAGTGAAGGCACAGATTTTTCCAGGTCAGTTGAACTTGTAGCTGCAGAAAAATGTAAATACCCCTGAGACAGATTCATATGATGCAGACACATGAAAGGAGGGGAGGAATCGGAAAGATTGTTTTACGCTGCTTTGCAAGATGCCAACACCACTACAATAAATTCACGAGATTTCCAGCTTGAAAAGAGAGGAACAAAGCCTCAAAGTTTTGAAGATGTCACATGCACCTAAAAGACGCACCCTGACAGAAACTGCAGTCCCCCTAAAGCAGACATCAACAGGAGTCAATTGGTCTATCTGTGCACATGTAACAGGAAAACCCTGTGCTTTTGACTTCACCTGCACCAAGAGACCTACATACTTTAAATACAAACAAATATGAATTTCTACAACCAGGTATTTCTATTGCCAAAGCTTTGCTTGTTTCAATACAGCAGATGTCAGTATTTTGAGTTACAGATTTTAATATATCATGCAATTTGTCATTTGTGATATTTTATCTAATTGACATAATATAAATTAACACAACTATTGTGATAGAGCCATACAGTGAGGCAGCAAATCCAAAATAATACTGCTGGAATACTGACTTCCAGGTTTAGGATAATTCTCCTTCTCATCTCTTGCTATGAATACAAATTTAATCTTGAATACCTATAACCCCAGTAAGAAAAGTTCAGAAGTGAAATAACAACATAACCTGAAAGAAATGTTTAGAAACAGAGAAAACGTCAAAATAATCTGTACTATGCAGTTAACTGAAAATCCCTTATGGTAAAATATCCAAGTCAAGAATATATCTTCATAACAGATAATTAATCCATTTAGCTATTGGTCCTTATATTCAAGAGATTAAAACAACACAAAACAATATTAATTGCTGTGGTTTACTATTTATTTAATCCTATGCCACAGAATATCACCATGTAGTTATAGAGCCTAACTTTCAGACACTGGAGACAAAATTCAACTTCAGACAACACTAAGCAATGAGAGCAAACAGCCTCTAACTGTAAAATCCTTGATGCAAAAACAAATACTAAGTTATGGAAGTATCATAAACACGATTTACCAGTCTCTATTTTTGATATTTCTGCAGATGCAGATGTTTGGGACAGGAAAGTAATATGATTAGAGTCCAGTGAAGCTGGAAAAAAAAAACAACAACACAACCAAAACAAAACATTTTTTTTGGCATCATCTGAACATATAGACTGAACAGGTTTCAACATGTTACTAAGAAACTAGGGACGTGAGAGAAGAAAATGTCTCAAATGCACATGCAATGGATTTTCTAATGTAAATGTGTGAAGATGCACTGCTGATGCAAAAGATGAAGAAGCAGTTACAAGAAACATGAAGAAGACATCACATTACAAGAAATGTGAAACTGCCATATCCAATGCCTGAAGTAACGTATGGCCCTTTCATCTCTACTCTTACGCTATTCCCCAATGGAGGCCCCAAGAGAAATAAGTTTGACTAAAAGCACAAGATCTCTTGGGACAATTCCCATCTCGCATCATTACCAGACCTGCAAGAAATATCATTACCACCAAACACTGCTGGTGTCTTGAACCTTGAAGAAACATG